ACATTAAATTGGTTGCCACCCTGAGACTTGAAGAGCATTCAGGATAAAGCTCAGAGCTAAACAGGAAAGCAGGATACTCCATTCCCAGAAGAAGGAAGAGTAGCTGATGATTCAAATAATGTCAATCATTAAAGAGACAGCAGGGGAGCTGGGTCATTGGTTCATAACTATAACCTGAACAACTGGGAGGTCTTAGAACAGGAGAATCATGGTTTGAGACTAGACTGGGCAGAAGTGTTTTCAAAATCCCTTCACAACACATAGCTGGGTGCAGTGTCATGTAGCAGTTATCCCAAGCTCTGTGGGAGGCTGGATCAGGAGGATAGCCCTGGAAGAGAAAGTCAACCAGACTCCATTTCCGTGGAGCTGAGCTGGGCATGCGCAGCATGGAGTCAAGCGTGTTGCGTGGATAGTAAGCAAGACCCTGGCCTAAAAAATTAACCAGTGCAAACAGGTTTGGAGGCATGGCTCAGCAGTATAGCACCCACCTAACAAGCACAAGTACCCGAGTTTAAAAGAAGGGCCCTTTTGGTGCTTCTTGCTCCATAAAACAAAGACTAAGACATGGATTCTACTTCCAAAGAGCTTTTCATTTCTTTTATAGGGCAGGAAGCAGAGAGAGACAGAGAGAGATAGGTAGGTAGATAGAGAGAGAGAGAAAGACAGACAGAGACAGAGAGAGATAGAGAGAGACAGACAGACAGAGAGACAGCGTGGACAAGCACCACTCATTTATGGCAGATCATGGTGCTAGTCTTGCTCTGGAGTACGAGATGGAATCTTGTGAACTTCATTGTTGCCTGAGCTGGTCTCTCAAATTGAGATCCCTAGGTCTCTACATCTCTCTTAGCTAGGATTACTGGCTTGATCCATGATTTCCTGCTATGAAATCTCTTGACAGTACAATAGAAATCTAGGAAATTAAAACAGGGTTCTATCTTTAAGGGCTCCAACTGGGAGAGGAAAAATTATATATATACATATATATATATAGTTTTATATGTTACATATGATATATATGTATATTTGCTAATTCTATCTTCTGCAGAATTTCTTCTTTAAGCAGAAATTATCTTGATACCAGGACAGGCAGTCACTTCTCAGGCCACAGATGTGCCAATGCTGGCAGTAAGGGCATAGGAGACACTCTAGCTGATGGCACCTTACGTAGCACCCACACCCCAGAGCATCCCATGCAGAAAAGGCAGAAGAACGGTGTGATGTACCACACTGGGATTCTGAGAAGCTAAAACTTTCTGGCTCAGAAACTCATTTGCAATTACTGGCCTCAGAGAGAGCACTCCTGCAACTTTCATTTGCTAGAGAAGATGGAACTGGGAATTGGAAAAGTACCCCTGAGTCTTGGTAAATATGGGGAAGTATATCTGTTACTCGAAATGCTTTGTTGTGTTCCACTGATGAGAAGAAAAACCAACCTACAAAGTGGTATTTGTCTAAACTCCACTCTCACAAATACATATTTTTTAATAAACAGAATCACAGAGTTATATCCAAAGGCACAACGTGGGTAGACTGACTGCAACTGCAACTTCAGGAAGGAGATTTGGGGTCACAGCTCTGAGTCCACGTGGGGTGGGGGTGGGGAAGGGAGGCATCCTGTGGGAACCACTCCTACCTTCTCTTAGCTCATCCCCATCCAACAAGACCCACATTCAAGGAAAAATGTCCACAGGGGACCTCCTCTCAAAACGACTTTTCACCACTCTAGTTGAAGTTACCCAACTGACCACCCCCTTAAAGCTGTCTCTATTCACACCTGTCCTCCATTTTCCTGTCCACATTCAATACCAAGCATACACCTCTGGCTTCCCCCTGAGATTCAGGCAGGCAGTCTGTCCCTCCCTGCCTACTACACAGCACTCAGCTGAGCAGAATGGAACTGCTTAGCTCTACATCCAGCCCATGCCTCTCCCCTAGCTTCTGGAGACCCATAGCATCTGGGTTAACCCAACTCTCTAGGCAAAAGAAACCCACTATTGTGGATAGGTTACACTGGAAGCGACGCTATCATAGTCTATAAAGTTTCCATGGCCTCAGGTTATCTGCCTTTCTGTTTTTCTTCCCATTTATTGGCTAAAAAGTTAGTTGTTGTTGTTGTTTAACTGCAGGTCAAAACTCTTGCCTGAGTTTCTGGTTTAAATCCATTTCCTTTGGCACTCCTATATTTAAGAAATCCCACAACTGTAAAAAGCCCAATTAAGTATTGTCTTGGCACGCTCCTGGTCCCAGCAGCCTTTCTCACCCGGGGCTGTCAGCACCTGCACAGTCCCTCAGGTGTGTACTTCCACCTCTGGTGCAGTCTCCTCTCTGCAATCACCTCATGGTTCATGGAGTGTCATCAGCATCACCCTGAGGGGACTCAGAAAAGCCAACTGCCAAGTCTGCTTTAGCCCAGACCTCCCAAATCAAATTCCAAGTACGGGGCTTCATTGTCTAGGTGTCAGAAGCTTCCAGATGATTCAAAGGCACCTTGAAATTGGTGAATTATTTCACAGTTTTATCTTATTTTGGTTAGCCTGACAACTACAGTAGATTATTGATTGGTCTTTCAATTCCTGCTCCTACCCCCTTCCAAATCTTTATCTTTCCAGCATTTCATGCTGGGTGCCAGTGGCTCACACCTGTAAGTTTAGCTACTCCTGAGGCTAAGATCTGAGGATTGCAGTTCAAAGCAAGTCTGGACAGAGGAGTTCCATAAGATTCTTATGTCCAATGAAACACCAAAAAAACTAGAAGTGGAGCTGTGGTTCAAGCCTTGAACAAAAGAAGCTCAGGGACTGCATCAAGGCCCTGAATTCAAGCCTCAGGATGGAATATACATACAAAAAAAAGGATAAAAGTAATTTTCATTCCTAAATTTGATGCAGTCAAACCTGTAATTATTATTTAGAAATCAAAGTGTTTACCATGGCAGAAAGGGCGAGGGAGAGGGAGGGAAGGAAGGAATTTGACCAGGGTGCATTGTGTACAAGTATGGAGATATCAAGATTAAAACCTTTCATATACTAATAACCCTGTATATATGCTAATAAAATGTAAAAATAGCCCCCCCCAAACCTTAACAATAAGAAATCCTTAAATGGCCAGTTGAATTCAATATCCAAAAGGAATAAAATATCAACTACACAAAGAAAAATAGAATCAGTTTTAAGGACAGATCATAAAATGATCTGAGATGCTCAGATGACCACAGATTGTATCAGAGGCTGTCAAGTGACAGGTGGGAATCCTGCATACATTCAAAACTCACCCATACCAGAAATGATGCCTGTGCCAACGCTTGCGATACAGGACACTAACACGTCCACTTAATTTCATCTCCTTGGGTTTATAATAATATCTATGACTTTAGACATGCCATATACCTTGACCTGGTGCCTCTAATCTTGGTTAACCCATCTGGATAACACACAGGGGCCCATTTGTGGTTAGCCAATCAGCTAAGCTCTTCCTACTGTCTCTCCCTGCTTCCCTCCCTCTCTCCCTTCTTTCCCTCCCCTCCTCCCTCTCTCCCTCCCTTCCTCCCTTCCTTCTTTCATTCTCTTCTTCCTTTCTGTTTTCCTTCCTTCGTTCCTTCCTTTCTTCTTTCTTTTCTCTCCCTCCCTCCATTCTTTCCTTCTCTTCCTTCCTCCTTTCTTTCCTTGCTTCCTTTTTTTTCCCTTTCCATACTTCCTTCCTTCCTTCCTTTTCTGCATTCTGTCTTTAAGTTTTTGAGGGTCTCTATTATTGGAACCCAGGCTTGGTTCAAATGTGCAATTCTCCTTCCTTGGCCCCCAGAGGACTGGGATTATAGGCATCTCTAATACCATACATGTCTTCATTCTGCTTTTGATCATTCCAGCTAAGATTTGCCTTTTGGGTTTTATGTTTGCTTGGCTTTTATTTTCTTTTTGCACACAGTGGAGCTGTGCCTTGGATATAGGATACGTTCAGGTGGTCCTTTTCTCTTGGTCCCTTAGTGTTCATGTTAGCCATAGATGGCACTTAGTGTCCGGCTCCAGCCATTCTGGGTTACCTGTTATAATCCTTTGCACTCAGTTTTGGTGTCAGTTCAGTTGGGATGACTGAACTCAGGAGAGGAAGGGCTGACCAAGCCAGGCAGGGGCACTGTATAAAGGCAATGAGCATAGTTTACCTGAGGTAGCTTACCACTACTTGTGTCCATCATCTCCTTTTTGTAGACACTGTGAACCAAACCCCCCTCCTTACTCTGACATATGGGTTGGTTCTGTTTTTCACTGCCAAGAAACCTTACTCTCAACAATTCCCTAAAGTACAGACTCATGAAGGCTAATCATATAATTTCCAACTTTGGTAAAGACATGAAAAAAACCCCACAACCTTTTCTGAGATAGGGACTATCATGGACAACTTATATATCAAAAAGTGCCTAGAGATTAAGCCACTGCACCTGCATAGAAGTTTCTGGATGAGAGTAACATGTGAGCAAGTAAACAAACTCTCTTCCTACTGTACACAAGCCTTATGCAATCCATTCAAGACCCTACAGGATAAGAAGACTTGAATAAGGGTGTTAATACTCATTTCTCCATTTAACTATGTTTGAGTGGGACATGAGCTGGGGTAATGGTTATAGAAGGCCCAATTTGGCACCTAGGAGGCTAATGTTTGCTATGAAATGAACTGACTAAGAATAGGAAAAGAAAACAAATGTCATCATGAAAGGAAAGAAAGGGGAAGGGAAGAGAGGCAGGAAGGGGAAAGGAAAGGAGAAAGAAAACTCTAAGAAACAATCATGTAAGAGTAGAAGCAGATAACCTGCTGTCCATGGAGAGGAATCTCAGATTTAATGGGACAACACCCATGACAACACCTGTAACGCACACACTCAGTGCTCAGTTCCTGTCGTCGCCATCATCACTGCTACCTGCTCGCTCGCGTGTGTGTCCCCATGAGCACGAATGAGAATCACAGCTCTCATGCAGCAGGCAGGAAAGAAGAGAAACGGGCAGACTCACGTTCAGCTGTAACTCGTCCGTCCACTGCCCGATCAGACGATAGCCAGGGTTGGTGGTGTTGGTTGTCTGGTACTGAAAGATGTCATAGCGCCCAGGCGCGTCTCCATTCTTGTTAAACATCACCGGGGTGCCAGCACTTCCTGCAGGTGACCAGGAAGGAGAGATGTCATTGTGGAGCCAGAGTTCCTCCATCTCCTAGGCTAGGGATGAGTCGGGAGAGCTGGGAAGGGACAGGGTGGAGACTTTTCACCAAGGAAGAAAGGAATTATTTTGGTTTCAGCGTTTCCCAGCTTTCAGTCCATGGTAGGGTGTCATTGTGTTTGTGGGGCTGGGGTGAGGTAGAATATTGTGGTGGAAGGGTGAGACAGAGGGAGACCATTTACCCCACAGTGGCCAGGAAGGCAAAAAAGATAGAATTCCTGCACTAGTGGGTTGTTGTTGTTGTTGTTTCTCTTCTGTTCCTAGTGGAACCCCAGCTTTTGGGTGGTGTGCCACCCTCAGAGATGACGCCAGAGGAATGCCACAGATCAGCACAGCTGAGAAGCACATGTGCTTCTCAACACTATCAGAGGACAGCCAAGGTGAACCCGATTAATCAGAGACAACCTCATTGTTTCCACGATTCCCTCCACATGGTCTCTATCATTTGTGGGCAGGTCACCAGTAAGAGCTGCCAGTACTAATGATATAAAACAGAAAGGTAACCTGTCTTCTCCTTTAAAAAGTTCGATTTCTTGATATTCCTTAGCATTTTATTCTGGAAATGTCCCCTTCAGGGGAACAAAAACTATACACAATTTTCTTTTTGGAGACAACATTAAATTTTCACAGTTCTGCTGATGAGAATGGCAATAATGATGATGAGGGTGGTTTTATTATTTTAGTTTCTGCCCAACTATAAACTGTGGCAACTAAAGAACCATTTTTCAAAACTATGAAATTATTTTTAAAGGGTATGTAATTAAAAATAACCAAGCAAATAAGCAAAAAAAAAATAAAAAAGGTTTATCTAGATGTGTATTTCTCTGATGATTGTGTTTAGAAGTCTTTTGGGCTGATTATTTCTACATTGCTTTATAGGGTAATCAGTGTAAAATGCTTATCAGTGTCAGAAAGATGCTCAATAAACACTTTTATTTCTTAATCCTTCTTGTAATGTCCATCTTAAAGTGTAACCAATTATTTTGATACAATTAAGCATCAAAGTTAATTTTAAAGATAACTACATTTACAGAGTACATATATATACACACAAATATATGTATATATATAAAATACATACATAAATGTGTTGATTAGAAGAAAGAACAATTACCAAATCATACACAAAGACCAGAAGCCATCTGTTTGCCTTAGTCTGAGCAACAGTGACAAAGGAATCACAGAATAGTCTGGGAAGTGCAGGTGAATGGGAGGTGGAAGGAGCCACAGGTGCATCTACTTTCACAGGTGACAAAGCATACAGAGGTCCACGTGTCCCAGTCACTCAAGCACTGAGACAACAATAATGCTTAGCCATGGGTTTGGAATCTTCTAGAATGGGTATAAATACCAGGTTACCAGCTAACTTAGCAAGTTGCTCAGCCTCATTCTATGACCTCATCACTACCTTTCTGAGAGGGCTGGAGTTACGATTGTTTGGAATGGAGTGTATGATAGGTACAGTTCTGCACTTCTTGCTTTGTGAATGTTTAATTAGATTGTAATGACTCTTACATTTGATCTGAACAAAAGGGCTATGATAAAAGGTTGTTGTTTGTTAATTTGTTAATGTTTACCCAGGCAGTGTACAAGCCTTCAGTCATCTGATCTCACGTCTTGGTCAGTCCGCCAATCTCGTATCTAGTACAGATTTGCCCATTGGTAGAAAGACTGTGTTTTTCAACACGGAGACCACAGCTCATGTTGGGAGTGGGAGTTAATCACCTGGGAATGCTATGTTGGGTCTATGGCTAGACCTGCATGTGGCCAAAGTCACCGTTTCATTTTCTCCATGTTAATGAGAGACTACATCCCCATGGACCCGGAAAGCACCCACCCCATCACCACAGAGGTCTTAAGCCCTCTGTGTGGGTGAATCAATACATACCTTCTCAGTGCATGGAGAAAACAAACAGCAACAAAAGCGACATTGATAGCAACAGAAAGCTTCCAGGACTGGCTTTCTGCTGTTAGCAAACTTTCTGAGTCTACGAAAGGAAATGTGGACTCTGCAGGTCATTAGCAAGAAACAGGAATCCTGATCGTGAGCAGGGGGGACATTAATATTCAGTGACTTTTCTTCTACACGTTGCATACTGGAATTCGTGTTGTGCTTTGCTATAAATTCTATGGCTTCTATTCATTAAGTAATGATTCAAACTTTTCATAATCTTTGAGAGAAGAGGAAAAAGTATTCTTGGAGGCCTGGGGCTCCAAAAGATCTCTCTCACCCGCACAAGCTAAATATTCATCAGAATAGACCCATCACACAATCTCTCTCCTTTCTTACAGGCTTTGGGAGAGAAATGATTCTTGTCATGCCCTTTCCATTCTCATTAAAGTTTATGATAAAAAATATGAAAGATGTAGAGCTGAATACTTTATTTAAGTGATGAGTTCTCATAGCTTATTGTGTGGCTTTGACCTCAATGGATTCTGTATTGCAACTAGCTTATTATTTCCAGGTTTTTGTTTCCTCCCCTACAACTCCCTTTTTAAGAGCATCCCAGCAATTCTTGAAAAAGAGAAAGGAAGCCTTGTGTTCGATAAATTCTATGTCCAAAATTTTTTTTTAAAAAAGATCAAGGTCAAAAATTGTAAAAAAAAAAGTATAGAAACAGGAGAGGATTTCCCCAAGAGACTTACAAAAGGTATTATTAGGACCAGAATGTAGACGTATTAAGATAGAAAAGATGGGGACACTTGGTTATTTGGTAGCCAGAGCAGGGGATGGGCAGCACGTAAGTCTGCAATCTCTCCCAGATGGGAAGATGGGAATGAAAGAGCTTTCCTTCTAAACATAAAAGGGTTGGGACGTAGATTGCTCTGATGACAGAAGTTGGCAGCTTGTCTGACATAGCATGCACAGCATCTAGACTTGCAGCATTCATACATGCTCAACAAGCCTCCTAAATCTCAGTACTGTAACAAGAAGGATGGGCTGCTCACAGTTTGGTCAGGGCAGCAGAGGAGAGAGTTTCTCTGGTGCTACCACATGAGCCCCATCAGCCTGGAGGACACATGGCTGAGAGTTGCTTGGGGTTTTCAGGAAGATTCTTGGCTGGGGCCTGGGCCCTCTGCCTTTTTTGCTTTAGAAACTACATGGCATCACTTCCAAAGGAGTCCTAGGTTCACATAGACTTAGAAGGAGGGAGCCTGGAAGGCACCTCTCTAAGATGGAAAGCTGACATTCTCTCTTGCAGAGGGAACTGGGAGCTGCTCTGTCCTCGCAACAAAAGCCTCCCCTCCGTTTCTTTTCTGGAAATCAGTAGATCTAGGTATGGGAACACTTTTACATAAAACACATTCCATTGTACTTATTTTAGATCTTAGCCAAGACACTGAATCTGATCAAGTTACATTTGGAAGTGTTGCCATCTGGCCAGACGAGCTAAAAGAGAGATAAGTAGAGCCAATTTAGGCTAGAGATTTTTCGCATTCATTTGAGATGCAGGAAAAGGTGGCCTGCGACTGATGGAGAGTAAATGGGCCATTTCCCCACTCCATTCATAAGAGGTAGTTAAATACTTGGTGACGTTGTGGTAATGCTTTTAGGACTTTCTATTATCATTTCTTAAATTGATGCTTCAAGTCAATGTGAAGGTCAGAGTTATTAAATTGTATTCTACTGATGTGGAGAAAGCGCCTAGAGCTAAATGGAATTTCTTACTAATGTAACTGAGGACTACAATCAAGCTTATTGAGACAAAGAAAAAAAAAGAATCAGAAATCATCCTAAAATATGTGAAAGGAGGACTAACTTCTTACAGTGAACAGGAGAGAGGCCTGAGTTACACATCTGTCTCTGACATTTATAAGTAGTGAGGCCTAGGGCAAATTTTATTTCTATTTCCTCTTCTTTCTATAAAAATGAGGAAACAGAATGACTTTTGCAGGTCTTTTATTATGCTCTAAGCTTTATCCACTTATGGAATCCTCTGACTAAACGGGGAAAACATTCTTGTTTGTGTAAAATTTGAGTCCTACCATTGATGAGTGCTGAAACACCCCAGGAACCAAAGGTCTCCCCACTAAAGAAAAAGAGTCCTCAGAGAAAGCCGATATGGACTACCAAGCAGGATGTCCAAGAGAGAATGGCTGACTGGGCCTGTGTGCCTCACAGAAGTTCTGATCTAACTAAGCACGGCCCTCAGTAATGAGGAGAAGAGTCTTCCTCCCTGTTACTTAAAGATGAATGTTTAGGATGAAGAACCAGGGGAAGGAGGGTGGAGAAAAGAAGAGGGAACAGCCAGGGATGGGAGATGAAAATGACAGAAGTACTTGTGTATATATATATATATATATATATATATATATATATATATATATATATATATATATATATATATATATATATATTACACACACACACACACACACACACACACACCAACATAATCAAACTCAGTAAAACCTATTGCAAAGGAGGGGGAAGGAGAGGGTATTAAGAAAGAGGAAAATGGAGTGAAGTCGATCAGAGAACAGTACATGCACTTATATACAAATATCACAAAGGAACGCCTTTGTGCAATTAAATTTGTGGTAATAAAAAGTGATGCAAATTGAAGAAGCCAGACTCATAAGAAATAGATTAACAGGAAAGGATCTTCTTGTCTTCTTACCTTCTACCTAAGCTGTATGGCTCAGGACAAGGTGTTTGTTCATTTCTCTGTGGCTTAGTTTCCCTAGCTCTAGAAATGGGAGAAAATCATAATGTGAAGGTCACCATGATGTTCTAAAGATTCAGTAAGCCACCAGATGAAGGTATTGGCATATAGTGATCATGTCATATATGTGTATATACCAGCCCTGTGCCTACGCTAAAGCTCAGAACCTCTGTCTCCTTATTCATGGACAAGACAGTCTACTGAGACTATGTGAGTTAAGATCTCACTGAACAACCAAGGGTGGCTTTGAATTCAGTACACAGACATGGCTGGCCTTAAGCCTGCCTTTTACCAGGTCTCAGCCTCTCAATGGCTAGAATGACAGGTGTACTTTGCTCACTCCTAGCAATGAGACAACCCCTGAACCACCAGCGGTCTATAATCACGGTGTGCAAGAAGAAATCAGGAGAGAATTGTCAGGATCATTCTTACAAATACATTCTCAAATACATAAGGATGGTCACACATCCCTGGAGGATGGAACACAACCACCAGAATGACAAAGTGTACATAACTTAGTGAAAATTTGGGCTTAAAAGAAGTGGATGCCTATTTGCTTCGAGAAAAACTGGCTTGACGTATTAACAGCTTTTCTAAGACCAAGAAGAAATGGACTCCAAATAGTCTGGCTTAACACTATCAGTTTGTCCACAGAGCACAGGACGTTGGGAGACTCACCATTGAAGTTCACGTTGCGGATATACTTCAACAGCTTCTTACCCCCGGCGTGCTCCATCTCTGGGCACAAGCCCCGATAATCAGCACAGAGGTCCTTGTTCATGTGGTGAAGGGCGTGGGCCATGGCATACACGGCGTCGATCACGAACTGCACTTTCCCCTCCTGCTCATAGTTGGAATCTTTGCCAATTCTCTCCTGCCCTGCACAGGAAAAACCAGAAACACACACACATACACACATAGACAGATTGGTGTTTGAGGAGAAGGCCTGAATCCCCACCTCCTTTCAATCATGCATAAAGAAAAGCGAGCCTCTGGGAAGATGAGCTCACAAGCCGCAGGGCTTTAGGAAGTTTCTCCTGTGAAAGTGTTTTGTTTGTAGTGTTTTAGTTTGGAGCACACGGCAGGAACCCTTCTGATTGACTAGATATGCACTGGAAAATGTCCTTCCCACGACCACAGCGACAGCTTTTGTAGTAACTCCAAACATTGCATTTCCATAGGATCTGGGTATTTGGGGCGGGGGGGCGGTCTGGACCTTGAACTGCCACATTCACATCCTCAAAGCTTGTGTGTGTTAGAAAGACCAACAGGAAAATGGTACGTATCATATGACATTCCAGACCTGACTCATGACTGTTTACTAGTCTCCACCTGTCTTCATGGTGGAGTCTCAGTCCCTGGAGTCCCTTCTAACTCTTCTTACTCCTACTTTTAACTCTTATTCTTTGGCTCTTTCTCTTACTCTTATTCTTTGTCTTTCTTCCTCTTTGTCTTTCTCCCTATTTCTATCTCTCTGTCTCTTATTCACTACTTGCTCTTATTCTCTCTCTCTCCCTCTCTCTCTCTCTCTCTCTCTCTCTCTCTCACACACACACACACACACACACACACACACATTCGAGTAAATAGCCAAGTCCTGTCAATTCTCTCTCTGAAACACTGAACAGTTTGGGATGCTCTACTGATGCCCTATACACGATGTCTTCATCTTCTGTCAAGGCGCAATGGCAGATCCAATAGCAATTCCTTCTTCTACGCTCATCTTTGCAAGCTGCACAGCCTAGCACCCCATCTCCCATACTCACGTTCCTGCAGCCGCTTCCCACTCACTTACACAATAAGGCCCGGATCCCTTCCCCCGACACTGACAGACACTGGTTTTTGTGCCCATCTGCTTCATAACGCCAGCAGCTTACACCAAGAGCCCACAGTGGGTTGAAAACACTACATACACGTGTACTTCAATTTTCACCTTTCCTTTTGTGAGTCTCCATATTGTTTATTCTCGTTGTCCTCATGGGGAAACTGAGTCTTATAGAAAGAGTAAAACATTTATAGAGAGAACAGCAATGAGAGCTTGGGTGACTCGGACCCCAGAGGCCACATGGTTCTCAGTTCCTTGACTTTGGGTTTTTTGGTTTTGTTTTTTTGTTCATTTATTTATCTTGGACCATGTTTTTGTTTTTGTTTTTTTGCTTGGTTTTGTTAAAATGCCCTTCCTCTTTGCTTTGACATGTCACCACGTAATTCTTTCTCTATGACCCAACCCCAATGCTTTCTCCATTCAGTTCCTCAATCTCCCAGATTTCAAATCTCCGATATAACATGAATGAGGAGACAGAGCTGAATTTTTATGTCCTTTCACCGTGTTCCCAGTTTTCTCTTATTTCCCTTGTATCTTCAGTACTGGACATGAGACTTGTCATCTCGCGGATAACTACACAACCCTTGAATTCAACCATGCATTCATTACGTAAGATTCTTTTTTGACCCTTTGTCCCCCATAAAGAATAATTACCCACAGATTGCATTTCTCTAGTACAGTGGTATTTCCTCAGATTGTTTTAGAGAGCCACATTCGTAACAGGCAAAGCAGCAGTAGTAATTCCACCACTCCAACCCCTCACTCTGAAAATACACACATGGGTCCTTCATGCCCACTGTGTTAAAACCATCTGTAGGCTCCTGTACACAAGGCTCTTTGTTCAGGACATTTTACATTGCAACGTAAACTGTAATCTCCACCAGAGAAACCCATAGTTCACCACATTTACTGATGCTTGAGCTTTTCCCTTGGAGAACAGACATTAATATCCTACATTCCAGATGTTCGGTGTTCCAGACGTGAATCAGTTAAATACCAATCAAATGTATGCTCACTGGAGCCGGAGCTCTATGGCTTTGGAAGGATTCATGCTACACTCATTGCTACTTTCAAGTCAAATTTAAGTCCTTAATCTCCAGTACTATTCTTTTAAAGAATAGTACTGTTCTTTAAGTGCTGTTTTGTCTTATGCTATTTATTTCTCTTATTCATTCTGAGAGAGGGTCTCCCTGTCTAATAGCCCCAGCTAGTCTGGAATTTGAGATCCTACTGCCTCAGTTTCCTGAGAGTTTACAGGATTACAGGTATATACTATCATGCTCAATAAAATGCCACTGCTTTAAGATAGTGTCATGACTGTTTATTTGCTTTATTCTATACCATGCAAACAGTATAACAGCCACATCTAACAAGTAATCTAAAATGCACCATGAGGGTGTTACTTTTTCAGTGTTTCTTTTGTTTGTTTGCACATTTTGGAGATGGATTCTGAAAGTGAGAGTATTTTGTTAAAGGGAAGCTCATCTGTACTTCCGCTCTACCTTAGTAACTGCCCCTTTCTAATGTGCTCAGGGTTGCGCCATTTTGCAGTCCTAGTAGCTACAGTTGGTGTGAATATTAATTTCCCTACAATTTCTCTAATAGAATTCACTGTTAAATTTGCTTTGCATTCATCAGATTTGGGAGAAATGTTGCTGCTTTGCACAGTTATTTGCATTTTCTCAGGTGGGGGCTGGATGTAGTTGTGTGTGGAAATGTGTAAATTGTTTTCCTTTTTGGTGAAGTGCTGATAATCTAGTCAACTGTTATAAAATGTTCAACTTCTCTATTTTAAAAACTATTTATTAGATAAATTCTTTGAAATTAAAATTGGAAATACTTCCCTCCTGGTTTGTCATTTTTCTTCACTTTCTTCAAGCAATCTTTTTTTTTTCCAAAATGAAGTTGTTTTACATAAATTGCTCTCTAACAAATTTATTGTTCTCTTACATCTTCTGGAGTCTGAGTCATCATTAGAAAAAAATATGCCCTGTTTATTTGTGCTAGGCAACCAGTGGTTCATATCTGTAATCCTAACTACTCAGGAGGCTGAGACCTGAGGAATTTAGTTCAAAGTTAGCCTGCATAGAAAGTCTACGAGAATCCTATCTCCAATTAGCTAGGAAAAAAGCCAGAGATGGAGACACGGCTCAGGTGTTAAAGTGTCAGCCTTGAAAGCTGAGAGAGAATATGTAGCCCTGAGAATTGACACACAGATGACACACACACACAGACCACACACACACACAGACCACACACACACACACACATACACACACACACACACATACACACCACACATGCACACCTGCGCACGCACACACACACACTCGACAGATGACCCCACTCCAAGAGTATTAGATCCTTTGATGTTTTCTTACAGAATTGCATAATGTTAGCTTTTAGACTCAATATTTCATCCACTGGCAGTGAAATTTACCTGTAGCTTGAAGAATAATTCAGAATTACCTATATCCCTAAAGCCATCCTAATTATAACCACAGTATATTGAATTTGTAATATATAGTATACTTCTACTTTTCTGAATTTAGTTTCTGTCATTTTATTAGATATAATACCATATGAATTTGAATCCATATAAATTACATATTATTAAAGTGTTTATTCAATTTTTTTCTTCATGGGCTAACACCAATGTGTCAATTATAAAGGCTTGATAACTTAAATATCTAGTAAAGATTCTACTTATCCACATAATTACACATTTTAGGAATTCTTGATTTTTTTTTCTGACATGAGCTTTATTTGCAAGCATCTAGCTAGGGATGAAAAATGGTCAAACAATTTAGTTGTACATTCATTAAATCTGTTTTGTGTTTCTATCGTAAGTTTACGTAAGATAAAAATCTTCATGTAGGTCAGTCTTTTATTCATTTTCCCCCCCACAGTCTACGGTCTGCTTTTGCATCCTACAGGAGGATTTTAAGTTTTTAAGTGTTGTATAGTTCAGCTGTACTGTTCTATTTCCTTTTGCTATTCTCTATTTTTTTTCTGTGTATCTTCCCATTGATTTTCTTTGTGAATATAAAAGCTATTCCTGGTTTTGTTGGGCCTGTTTATTTTTATTACATTATAGCTTTCTATTAAAGGAATTATGGACACAAAGCAAGATTAAACAAACCTTACAGCAAGTTCACTAATTAGAGCTTAGCATTACCTTTGACTATACTTTGCTGTTTACTAGTCTAACATTACCATTTCACTTACTTTATAAGACCACTCATATTTGATATTAATTTTGTGATATGACATTCTACAGAAGTTTCCTTTTATAGCACTGCAAAAAAAGGAGAGACAATACTGGAGGTATTATGACCACTATAAAATTTATACTATAAAATGAATTCAGTCTAATAATTCAGGACAGCAGGTTCTAAACTGTATCAATAAAGACATTCATTTCACAAAGAACGTTTTGTAAGATAATTGAGCTGTTTCCAATAATAAAAATACTTTATTACTTGAGAAACACTGCAGTCTTTCTGCCTGTCTCTTGGAGAGTCATCAGATACATTAGCATAGTTAGACAAGATGGGACTTAAATTGTCAACTTCACAGAACTTAAGAAACTGTCGCCTTACATGAAGAAAATCACAAGTGGCAAGTTCATTTACCAAGAATGGCCAAGATACAATGAGGCCTCATGGTCCCAGTGTGGCAGACACAAGTATTTGCCAGTTCCAGAGTCAATGGCCACTCTCCTAACAAATCTGACTACGGGCAGATACTGGTGGCCACCAACAGAATGGAGTTTTTGCATCTCCCCAGAGTTCTTTGGAGTTAATCCTGCTTTCACAAAGCCATGGTTTCCCCCAGGGGCTGTCACAGCAGGGACATCTGCCAATGCCAGCTTAGCCAGTCAGGGTCTCCTGGGAAAGTTCTGAGAATGTCAACTTGCTCGCCAATTGTACCCAAACCTCCCAGCCTCATTCCCACACACGGCAATTATGCCGGTGATTTTGTAAAATTACACAGCATGTCTGTGACAACAGCGTCTGGGGTAGCAACACCTGAGCTGTCCATTACCCAAGCC